ACAACAACAACAATAAATGGCAGTGGGCTTACAAGTAACAATTGTGAGGATGGCGCACTTGCAGGCAGTGTTTCATTGTTGTCACAGGGTCACTGTGAATCCGAATGGACTTGATGGCAGGCAACACCACCACCACAATTCAAAAGCTTCAATTCTTCTTTGGTCTTTCCTCTTCATTGTTCAACTTGCACATTGGTAAGGCAATTGAAAAGTCCATGATTTGTGTCGAACACATCTTATTATTCAAGGGAACAGCTTTGCTTTTGTAAAACCTCACAGAATCTTTTTACAGCAGATTGACCCAAAGCAACGTACAGTTTAACTTCTGACTGCTGCTTCCATGGGTACTGATTGTGGATCCAAAAGAAATGAAACTCAACTTCCAAGCTAAGGAGAGACATGTTGTTGCTGATGTCAAGACAATTCTGACTTATAGCAACCCTGTATAGGGTGTCCAAGGAGCACCTGGTGGGTTTGAACTGCTGACCATGTGGTTCTCAGTCCAGGGCTGACCCTGCAGCCATACCAGGAGTCCAAGGAGAACAGTAAATATATAGTGCTAAGTGAGACATTACAGCCTTTGGCATGCTATAGACATCAAGCAAAGAAAACAGAAATCCTTACAAATGGATCGATAAGTAAACATCACAATAAACACAGAAAAGATTGAACTTGTGAAGCATTTCATTTTACTTGAGTTCACAATCAATGCCCACAGAAGTAGCATTCAAGAAATCCAATGACTATTGCACTGGGCAAATCAGCTGCAAAAGACCTCTTTAATGTGTTATATAGCAAAGATTTCACTTTTAGGGTTCAGGCGCACCTGATCCATGACATGGTATTTTCAGTGGTCTTTTATGTATGCAACAGGCGAATACGGATTCGCAAAGACCAAAAAGGAATTGATACCTTTTAAGTATGATACTGGTGAAGGGAAGACTTCCAGAAGAGTGAATAAATAAATCTGTCTTGGAAGAAGTACAGTCAGAATGCGCCTTTGAAGCGAGGATGGTCTCATGTACTTGGGACATGTTATCATGAGGAACCTGCCTTCAATAAGGACTTTTTTTTTTTTTTTTTAAATTAGAGTATCTATGAAAAACAAGAAGCCAGTCAGTGAGCTGAAAAGACACTGTAGTTAGAACAATGGGCTCAAATACAGAAAGTTGTGAAGACGGCACACGTCCAGGCACAAGCCCAGGCAGGGTTCTGTTGTGTGGTATGGACGGTGGCTGTGAATCAGACTCAAATCAAAAGCAACGACAATTTAAGTGAGTGCCTAGTAACCAAATCTTGGACAATCTGAGCAAAAAAGGAAAGGAAAATTAAAAAACAAAACAAAACACAGAAATATGGATTAGCCTATCGCGGTATTAGCCTATCCTGGTATTAGCCTATCCCGGTATTAGCCTATCCCGGTATTAGCCTATCCCGGTATTAGCCTATCCTGGTATTAGCCTATCGCGGTATTAGCCTATCGCGGTATTAGCCTATCCCGGTATTAGCCTATCCCGGTATTAGCCTATCCCGGTATTAGCCTATCGCGGTATTAGCCTATCCCGGTATTAGCCTATCCCGGTATTAGCCTATCCCGGTATTAGCCTATCCCGGTATTAGCCTATCCCGGTATTAGCCTATCCCGGTATTAAAGAGCCCTGGTGGTGCCGTGGGTTAGGCACTGGGCTGTTAACTGCATGGTCAGCAGTTCAAAGTCGACAATGTCGACTCCCACAATAACGTAACGTCTCTGAAACACTATACAGAGCTGCTAAGAGTAGAATTGACTCGACGTCAGTAGGCTTGGTTTAGGTGCATCCTGGCAGAACTAAGAAATGAACAGATAAAATATGACTGGCGCAGAAAATGCCATTTATTAATCCGCATAACAATAATCATGACAGGTAATAACAGTCCGTGGGTATTAAAGCAGTTGACCTAAAAGTGATGAAAATTAGAGTCACTGCAGTCTCAAAGATTTACTTCATGAGAGACTAATTATTCAGTGTAAATCGCTAAGTGTTAAAATAGGAAAGGATGGAAGAAGACATAAAAATATGGAAACAAAGTAAAACACTTTTACATGAAACTCAAGAAGAATGTATTTTATTGTTGTAGTTTAAAAAATCCCACATCCATAAAGTATTAAGTTCACGGCTCAAACTTCCAACCATACAATACGTACATATACAGGGGGACAGAGTAGTGAGGTATGCACACCGTAGAATGGCCAACCGTTTGAGATCAAAAGGGCAGCAGTGACCCAAGGACACAATTCATAGATTAGGACGGGAGGAAAGCCAACAGGAAGCACAGGGAGGGAAGTGGGATGAGTTATGTTCAATGGAGGGGACTGCAATCGTTAAGATGAAATGAAGTCTATGATTTGTTGAATGTAAAACTGATGATCTGCTCTATAAACCTTCACTGAATTCATGATTAGAAAATACATATATATACATTCCTAGACTCTCCACCTTCCCAGATAAATGTTAAGAGCCAACAAGTCAATTTGACTCATAGCGACCTTGTAAAGGGTTTCTGAGCAGCGGCTTGTGAGTTTGAACTGCTGACCTTGCGATTCAAACCAACATTATGGTCCAGTAGTTATCCTACAGCACCACACCAGGGCTCACCGCAAATAAACAAAACATACTTTAAAAACCGTAAAACCACAGGTGCTCAAGCTGTTTCCTGCAGCCTCATTTGCAACAGTCAAGAGTCACTGAGGAAGATAAAATCTAGTCTGGACTAAGAAAGGGGTAAAGATTGATTGAGGCAGCACCATTGTTATGATGAAGCCAACACTGCCTCTGCTCTACAGTCACAAGGAGCTCTGAGCTCTTTCTTGGCTTAGGATTGTTTTCTTACTGAAAAACTGTTCTTTATTCACACTTCCAGAAATCCTGTTTGCTAGTACACAATAACGAAGCATCTGACACTACCACAGATGCAAGCATGTGAGATGCCAAGTGTGATGTGAACAAGGGCTTAAGGGTCTCTAACATCCTTTAGAGCCACAGGGTCACTATCCATTATGAATTCTAATATGTGTAGTGAGTGTTGAGAGCTGCCGGAAGGCTTTCCCACATTCCTTGCATTCATAGGGCCTCTCTCCACTGTGAGTCCTTATGTGTTTATTAAGGGTTGAGAGCTGCCTGAAGGCTTTTCCACATTCCTTACATTCATAGGGCCTCTCTCCAGTGTGAGTTCTTATATGTGAAGTGAGAGTAGAGGAACAAATGAAGGCTTTCCCACATTGTTTACATTCGTATGGTCTCTCTCCACTGTAAGCCCTTACATGTGTAATGAGTGCTGAGAGCTGCCTGAAGGCTTTCCCACATTCCTTACATTCATAAGGTCTCTCTCCTGTGTGAGTTCTTGTATGTATGGTGAGGGTTGAAGAATCACAAAAGGCTTTTCCACATTCCTTACATTTATAAGGTCTCTCTCCACTGTGCGTTCTCCTTATATGTTTAGTGAGGTGTGAGGCTCGCCTGAAGGCTTTCCCACATTCCTTACATTCATAGGGCCTCTCTCCAGTGTGAGTTCTTATATGTCTAGTGAGGGTTGAGGCAAGTCTAAAGGCTTCCCCGCAGTGTTTACATTCATAAGCTCGCTCTTCCGTGTGAGTTCTTATGTGTTTAGTGAGGGCTAAAGCATGAGTAAAGGCTTTCCCGCATTCCTTACATTCATAAGGCCTCTCGACAGTGTGAGTTCTCCCAGGAATCGTGAGGACTGAGGAACCAAGAAAGGCTCCCCCACAGTCTGTCTGTCCCTGAGGTCTTTCCTGTATGTGAATTCTTCTTATGTGCTTAGTGAGATGAGAGTGCCGACTGAAGGCTTTCCCACATTCCTTACACTCATAGGGCCTCTCCCCACTGTGAGTCCTTACATGTCGAGTGAGGGTCGAGGCGTAGCTAAAAGCCTTCCCACACTCCTTACACTCGTACGGCCTCTCCCCACTGTGAGTTCTTATGTGTCGAGTAAGGTACGAGGCCTCACTGAAGGCTCTCCCACATTCCTGACATTCATAGGGCCTCTCCGCACTGTGAGTTCTCACATGTTTGCTAAGGTTGGAGGAACACGCAAAGGTTTTCCCACACACTTTACATCCATAGGGTCTCTCTCCAGTGTGAGTTCTTAAATGTTTGGAGAGAGATGAGGCGTCACTAAAGGCTTTCCCACACTCGTTACATTCGTAAGGCCTCTCTTCACTGTGAGTCCGTAAGTGTCTAGTGAGGGCCGAGAGGTAAGAAAAGGCTTTCCCGCATTCCTTACATTCATGAGGTCTCTCTCCACTGTGAGTTCTTACCTGCTTAGTGAAGGGTAAGTCCTCACTGAAAGTCTTATCACATTGCTTATATTCACAGGGCAGATCTCTGTCATGTAAAACGAGGGATGAAGGATGACTGTACATCTTACAACAGTCTTTACATTCATGGTTTCTCACATGTGCCCAAAAGAAAGAGAAACTGCAGAAGTGTTCCCCACATTCATTGCATTCATAGTTTTTTGCACCAGTGAGTGTTGTCCCAGGATTCTTAAGTGCTGAGATAGAAGCGAAGTCTTTCCCACATACCTTGCATTTATGGGGTATCTTTACATTACGATTGATGAGAGGAGTGAGAGGTGGGAGGGGAGAGGGTGAGTGTTCTGGGGAGGCTTTTCCACACTCATACCACTCACAAGGATTGAAATATGGAGGATTTCTTTGTAGCATGGCAAGATTTGGAATCTCACTGAAGGTTTTCCCAAAGTGATTGTCTTCAATACTTTCACAGAGGTTCTCTGCTGTAGGACTCCTGTCAAGCACAGGCCCAATGTGGTTAGAAAGAAATTTGCACCCACTTCCCCATTACCAAGCAAAGACAACGTGTAAGGATTTGGCCCTGTCTTGTCTCATGTTTCACCGGTCAAATCATCGAGCCAAAACGTAACTATTACTGTGTTTCTAAAATACATGGATGACTGTTGTATCCAAGTCAAATATGTTTCTAATGCTCAACATCTTACTCATGAACATTCTCCAAACACACGGTGTTAAAGGTAGGTTGACATATGTGTTGCTATTAGCTGCTTTCTGGTCAGGTCTATTTCACAGCAACGTCACCTACAACAAAATAAAATGCTGTGTGCTCATGAACCATCTTCATAATTGTTGCTACGTTTGGATCCATTGTTTTAGCCACTGTATCACTCCATCTCCATGAAGGTATTTCTCTCTGTTGCAGAATCTCTACTACATCTTTTATATATAAAAGAACAGGCTGCCAACCTCAAGGTTAGCAGTTCGAAACAACCAGCTGTTCTGTGGGAGAAAGCCTCATTTTCCTTCTCCCATAAAGACTTACAGCCTCAGAAACTGTAGGGTCGCTAAGAGTCAGAACCAACTCCACGGCACATCACCACCACCACCATATATAAACACGTACATATGAATAAAAATACTCATTTCCATTAAGTAGATTCTGACTCATAGAGACTCTAGGGAACAGAGAGGTTTCTGAGACTGTAAATCTTTTAAGAAAGTACAGCCTTATCTCTCTCCCTCTACCACCAGGGCATCTATATGTATGTACACACAGAAGTACACATGGTCTTGACACATCAGAGCTTTCTCCTAGCGAACGAACTTCTCTAGGAGAATACACTCACCTCAAATCATTACTGTCACATGATTCGGAAGTTTCTCCTAACATGAAGGACCAGGAGTTAGTCTTCATGATTTGCAACACTTCATGTTCACTGGATGATTTCTCTTCCTCGTTCAGGCTTTGAGAGACTGCCCCAATAATCCAAGTTGAGGTTTACAACATGAAACAAAAAGTATAGGACTGAGTAGGAGGGAAAAGGCTGGTGCGAACAAAGAAACACTTAGTCCCGCTGAGCTGGTTCAGAGCTGTGGCAACAGGAAACAAGCGCTTTAGTACACAATCCATCCATGAGGGTCCAGAGGGACAGCGACATGGATAGGTATTACCAAAGCAGAAAACACTTTGTGCATAAGACCCCTGCACTGTTAGGTGATGAAGAGGGTCTCCCCGGCCACAGGAATGAGAGCATTGCAACATCAGAAAGGTAAGGTCTGCTAGCTGTGAGGTTGTGGCCTCTTTTCCAGGTGCTGACTTCCTGTCATTTCTGTCTGCACTGTTTGTGGCCCTCCAGAGTACAAATGGGTGCGGCTGGCCCACATGGTGCTCATGGCAGAATGCGCTTCAGCAGGGAAGACTGCGGAGCGGCGAACAATTCCCTAATGCCAAGTCAATACTTACATCTTCAGGGTCTTGGAACATGGAGAAGTGTGAGTTTATGTGTAGAAAAATAATCATGTCAAACAGTAAAACTCTAAGGTCCCCAGACACAAACCTCTCAATGTTTACAGGGATCCATGAGACCCCTGCTGGTATTCACAACACTTCTAGAGCCTCCAGACTTTTCATTACAAGACAAATGAAACTTCACTTAACTACTACACAGGCTAAGGAGCTCTGGTAGCGTAGTGGTTACGAATCGGGCTGCTAATCTCACGGTCAGCAGTTCCAAACTATACCAGCTGTTGCACGGGAGAAAGATGAGGCTTTCTGCTCCTGTAAAGATTTACAGCCTCAGAAACCAGGTGCAGGGTCGCTATGAGTCAGAACCGACTCCATGGCACATAACACCACCACCACCACAGGCTGGTTTTCATGGGGAAGTCAGAATACGTGCGTTCTACAGATGAAGGAACTAAGCCTGTGCTATTCAATAATTGATTCCCATTCCTTATCCCAGAGATGGAAACGAAGTCATTAAGTACTTTTGTTCACTAAAGGAAATTTAAAAGAAAAAGAAGACACTTCTTACCTACTGAAGTCACATTTCTGAAGGTTTCCATCATCACATGTCTGTAGAGTTTCTTCTGAGCAAGATCCAGCAGAGCCCACTCCTCCTGACTAAAGACCACCGCCACGTCCTCAAAGAGCACTGAGTCCTGAAACATCCCGTGAACAAGAAAGCAGTCAGTTTATAACAGTGAAGGGTTAGGCTGACAGTCCTGGAGAAGTGAGATGTCACAGGAAAATAAGGTGCTGGGTTCTACCATGGTCTACTCGAGGGCCCAGTCATCAACCTGCCGCCATCCAGTCTCAGACTTCCTACACATTGAAAGAACTTTTCCACAGTGTGACTATTATCCATTGCAGTCTTAGTCCTCTGAATTTATGCAGAGAAAGAAAAGACCAAAATGGATGTTAGAAGAGGCTCTGAAACTTGATGTTGGATGTGGAGTACCTAAAGCTCATGGGGGGAAAAAAGATGAAATAAAAGAGCTGAACAGAAGATTGCAAAGGGTGGCTCGAAATGACGAGTTATAGCAGGATAATGAAACGCGAAAAGACCTGGAGTTCAAAAAGCAAGAGTAGGGTGCAGTCCTCATTTCTCAAGGCTCGAGTTACAGTACTGATGGCCTCTAGGGCCAAAATAGTCAATGTCTCAGGAAACACCCAAAGAATAGAGAAGGGAGACAGACAGTCATTACACCAAAAGAAACTGCTTGGTGTTCAACCGTCTCAGACGGTACTGTTGTTAAGTGCTGTCCAGTCAGTTACGACTCATAGAGACCCTGTATAGGTTTCCGAGGAGCAGCTGGTGGGTTTGAACTGCCGACCTTAAAGTCTGCAGTCTAGTGCTGACCATACAGCGCCACACCACAAGTTCCAGAAGGTTCTACACGATCTAGAAAATGCAGCATTGAAGGAAGAAGGCCAAACTGCAAGGAAGCACTGGTATAAACACGGATCCAGGACCCGCAAAGCACCAATGGAAAGGGAGGAACAAACGAGTGCAATCCTGGAAGCTTGAACTCATCCGTGAGAAGACACGTGGATGACAGCTACCTTACCAATCGATCAGAGAAGATCTCAGGTACTATGGAGCCAGCACCAGCTCCTAGCGACCCTGTGCACGACAGAGTGACACATGCCGGACCTCCACCAACCTCACGATCGTTGTATACTTGGACCACTGGGTCAATCCATCTCACTGGGGTCTCTCTTGTTTTCACTGACCCTCTTCTTTACCAAGCATGATGTCCTTCTCCAGGGACTGGTCCCCACTGATGATATGTCCAAAGTATGAGAGATGAAGTCTGTCCGTCCTGGCTTCTAAGGAGCACTCTGGCTGTACTTCTTCCAACACAGATTTATTTGTTCTTCTGGCAGGCCATGGCACTTTTAATATTCTCCTCAACACCATAACTCAGCTCCATCCACTCTTCTACTGTCTTCCTTATTATTCACTGGGCAACTTTCACATGCGTATGAGGCTATTGAAAATACCGTGGCTTGGATCAGGTGCACCTTAGTCCTCAAACTGAAATCTCTCTTGAACACTTTAAAGAGGTCTTATGCAGCGGATGTGCCTAATACAATAAGATATCCATATTTGTGTCTAATTCAAAGAAAGAATACCAAACAGAATGCTGAGATGATCAAAATGTATCAATGACATAACAAGCAAATACATATTTGCTGAAGATTTTTCAAAAATGTTTATAGTAGTGTAACATTGACAGGGAAGTGCCAGAAATTTGAGATTTATGAAATTTAGACCAGAACATGAGACGAGGACTATCATTGTAGAGATTACCAAAAAGATGCTTACATATGTTTTACATACTATGCAAAAACAATTGACTGTGTGGACCATGACAAATTATGGGTAACACTGCACAGAATGGGTGTTGTTGTTGAGGGCTGTTGAGTCGGTTCTGACTCACAGCGACCATGTACAGGGTTTCTGAGGAGCAGCTGGTAAGGTTGAACCGCCAACTCTGTGGTTCAAACAGAGCTTGTAGCTCAGTGCATTAACCCGCAGCGCCACACAAGGACTCCAGAATGGGCATTCAAGAACATGTCATTGTGATCACGAGAAATCTGTAATAGACTCAGGGACACTTGTTCCAACAGAACAAAAGAATACAGAGTTGATTAAAATCAGGACAGGTGTGTGTGAGGGTTGTATTCTTTCACCATAGTCAAGTCAAGTCAAGAAGTTGCACTACATGACAAAGAACATGGCTTCAGGTTTGGAGAAAGAGTTATTAACAATCTGTGCTACACAGATGACACAATCTTGTATACTGAAATTTACGAGACCCTGAAATACTGTTGACGATCCGAGAGTACAGATTATAGCTCAACAACCAGAAAACCCAAATCCTCACCACTGGGCCAATAAGCAATATCACAATAAATGAAGAAAAGATCAAAGTGGTCAAGATTTCATTTTACTTGATTAATGCCCATGGAAGCAGTAGTCAAGAAATCACACAACGTAGTGTATTGGGCAAATCTGCTGCAGAAGGTCTTTTTACAACATTAAAGAGCAAAGATGTCACTTTGAGGACTTGAGTGTACCACAAACAAGATAGAGTGTTTTCAATCTGCTTATACACACGCAAAAGCTAAACAAAGAACTGGTGTCTTTCAATCGTATTAGAAATTTCACAGACTTTCAGAATAACAAAAAAGTGTCTTCGAAGCAATACAGTCACGACAGTGCTCAGAAGTGTGGGCTCTGTCTCACATACTCCGAGCACGTTAGAAGGAACGAGGCACTGAAGAAGGATATGACACTCAGTAAAGTCGACTGTCAGGGAAGAAGAGGAAGATGCTCAACTCCATAGAAGGATGGAGTGAGCGCACCCAAGGGCGTGGTGACTGTGAGGCCCGCACACGTCCGACATCGCTTTATTCTGTCGTACGTGGGGTTGGTACAAATTGGACCCAACTATAAGAACAACACAGTCAGAAAACAGCAGAAGTTAGAGAGATGCTCTCATTCAGATACTAAATTCCTTGTACACAATTACACTTTCTCCCTCAGACCCAGCAGAACATACACTAAAATCTGAGGACAGGCTGCAGCATTAACAACTGGGAAACAATGCTGAATGTGGTTCTGTTACCCTTCACAGGCATGGCAGGACCGAGGGCCACATAAACAAACTGGCAGCACTGAGCCCCGAGCTGGTCATAGTTTTCTGTACAACTCTGAGACCAGAGGGTTACAGGCGCACCTGCTGAAAAACCACCACCAAAAAAATATTTTTGACAGTTATAAATGTTTACGTGTCAGTAACCTATTTCTCAAAAACTCTGTTGGTCAGACATCCATTCTGTCCCTTTTACACAGACAGACAAAGGTAATAAAAGTTTGAAAGATCTCAGGTGCTCCTACAACGCAGGAGACAGAAAACAAGTGGATCAAGGATCTCTAATGTTGAGATCTGACGCAGCCGGACACCACTGACTGTCCCCTCATCAAACACAAACCCTGACCCCTCACATGGACAGTCTCATGTGATTAAGACATGAACACACAGCAACAAAGAAAGGTGATACATTGGAATGTGAAAATCATCAAATAGAATTATTAATATCACATGCAAGTAAACTTTGGCTGAAAATGATTAAAAAAATGGTTGCAGCAGTACATCAACGGGTAGTTACTAGAAATTCCAGCTGGAATCAGACGAGGATGTGGAATGAGGGATGTCACTACTGGCATCAGCTGGATCTTGGCTGACAGCAGAGAATACCAGAAAGATGTTTATTTGTACTTTATTGACTATGCAGAGGCATTTGAATGTATGGCTCCTGACTAACTGTGGATAACACTGATCAACTGGCGGTTCTTCCAACAGAACTCGGGGACACTGCGTGGTCCTTTCACCATACTTATTCAGTCTGTATGCCGATCAGATAGGCAGAGATTACAGGAAGAATGTGGCACAGGAACTGGAGGAAGACTCATTAACAACCTGCGATACATAGATGATACAACCTTGCTTGTTGGAAGTGAGGAGGGCTTAAAACACTGATGAAAATCAGACTCGAGCCTTCAGTATGAATTACACCTCAATGGAAAGAAAAGAAACTCTCAAAGCCGGGCCAATAAATGACACGCTCGCTCCATTAGCCATATCTGCTGCAGAAGACCTCTGCTTTAAAGTGGTTACATTTGAAGACTCAGGAGCACCTGACTGAAGCCATGGTCTTTCCAATCGACCAATATGCGAGTGAACGTTGGACAGCAACTAAGGAAGACCACAGAATCGATGCCTTTGAATTACTGTTTTGGTGAAGGATATCCCAAGTACCATGAGCTGCTAGAAGAACACACAAATCCGTCTTGGAAGAGGCCAGCCAGACTGCTCCTGGTGTCAGGAGAAAGGCTGGTCAGACTTCACCTGTTATACTCTGGCTATGTTTCCGGAAGGACCAGTCCCTAGAGAAGGACAACGTGCTCGGTAAAGTGCAGGATCCACAACAAAGAGGAAGAGCTCTGCGGAGTGGTGCACTATCGCATGTCTCCTATAACCATGGTCTGTAGCTTCCACCAAATGCTGTTTCCGCCCTGCTGGGCCCGGGACAGAGAGGTGGGAGAAGACACTGAGGATGACAGGTCTCAGCTGAGCTGTGGAGCTCTAGCAGGGACATAAACTACACAGCTCAGCAGCACGGGTAGGGCCTCGCTGCCATCCCTGTGCACTGGCCCACCTTGATCCGGGGACAGAAAGCTGAGACGCTGGAGGAGGGGCACAGGAACAGCGGCAGAACCAAGACCTGAGCCCAAGGCCGAGCGGTGGCCTTCCCAGCCCACGGAGCAAGCACAGTCCGTCAGGTATGTACGTGAGAGAGCTAGGTCTCCTGAGCCTAATCTAGAGCTGACGGTGTTCAAGCCGAGGCTTCCGGTGGAGTGCTCTCTCCTAAGAGCTTTACCATTAGCCCGACAAGAGCTTGGTTAACGTGACCCGGCCAGAGAAAAGTCTGCTATGGGTGCGGCTGCAGAGAGGCTGTCCTGACTGGAAGAACTCTGCCCCGAGCCTTTTCGGACCCTGCTTTGTAACCTGGTAAGCTCCCTAGTAAACCCCATAACTGAGTGTGGTGCCTGAGTTCTGTCATTGCAATGGACCAGCAAACCACCAGAGAGGCAGAGAGTGTTGTGGGAGGAACAGTCAGCGCCACACACACATTCTTGCAACCCCCAACAAGATGGCCAGACAAGGTGGGCTCAAGCACAACAAAACTGTGAGGAGCAAGCAGGACCGGTGTTTCGGGCTGTTGTGCACGGGGTTGCTGTGAGGTTGAACCAATGTGCTGGCATCTGACAACAATCGTGGCGCAAGATGATCAAGAGCATTACATCTGTGTTTGCTGGTGGACAAGAGGCTGCAATTCCCACTTGGCAATGGCAGTCCAGCAGGATGGAGTCATCAGATCACCATGGGATACATACAAACATCAAATTGGCAAAGGCTTGGCTACACCAGACAAAATTTTTACCACCCCCCACCCTAAACTTTTAAGACCATGAAGTATGAACAGGGCTATTTACCAAATTGCCCAAGAAGCCTGAAAGACAGAGGCCTTGGAGGCTCAGCCCTCAATTTTGTCACATTTCCAGTCCCTTGGAGACACCCAGCTCTGACAGCCTGGACCTTGACCAACGGAAGAGTGACTTCCTAGTGTAGCGAGGAGAGAAGAGCCGGCCAGGTGAGACTCGGTGTGAAAACAGAGTAGCGTTAGGAGAGGAAGACTCCACTTGTCAAGAAGTGGGGAGGGAAGTCACCCCAGTCACCTTTAACCAAGCCTGCTATGATGGCAGCACAAGCTTTGAGCAAGAGCCGAAACCCCCAAGTCTCCGAACTGCAGGGGACCAGGTTACACATGAAGCAAAAACCTTCAAGACTCTTCATACAATAAAGTAATGGTAAATGTCCATGACTTGAACTGTTTGGTGAACAGTTTAAGATATACTAGCTCATTTCTATGTCATGTATAAAAAGACACAACAGAGTATCCAATAACCATGAGGCCTGGTGTGGCGCTGAGGGTTAATGCACTGGACTGCAAAGTCAGTCTGAACTGCAAGGTGTAAGTTCACGCTCACCAGGCGCTCCTAGGAACCCCTATACAGGGCTGCTATGGATCAGAACCGACTCAATGGTGCTTAACATCAACAATAACTTTGGAGGCCTGGTGTGGCACTGTGGGCTGATGCACGGCACTGCAAAGTCAATTTGAACTGCAAGGTCAAACTCACCTGCTGCTCCTCGAAACACATACAGGATCGCTATGTGTCAGAACCAACTCACTGACACTTAACAAGTATCCATGGAGTCTCCTAATGTTAACTGACGGTGACTGGGGTAGGGGCTGGCAGACAGATACGGCCAACTCCAGAGCTACCACTAAAGGAACAGCAGGAGGCATGTCAGGTATACCACCACGGGGGCCTGGCAACAGTACAGGAGTCAGGGCCGGCCACCTCTCAGGAGGTCTAAGTGTGGCGAGTATCTGCTGAAAGGGTCATGCGGGGCTAATCATATGTGCGTGATCAGTTGGTCTCCAGTGACCGCTAGCTCCTCACCTTCCACTCACACTAACTGTAGGTGTCACATGGAAACAACGAGACTCACCAGGTGCTCTGAGTGGGCACTCACAACACCTGAATTCACTGGAACAGGAAAAACAATCCTTGTATATTTTGGCTCATGCAGGTTAAGCCAGAGGTGTTCACAGGTCAACTGTATAAAGCTCGACGAAAAGCAGAAGAGGTGGAAAATGATTGAAAGCCAAAAACAGTAACTTAAAACAAAAACAAACAAACATGAAGATATTAAATGATACATTAAAACGTCGATGGTATACATACACCAAAGAATGAGACTACATTATCTACAACAAAGTCATTTACTATACAAAGATGGATTACATAGAAAAGGAACGTGTGAGAAGGTGGGGCAGCTGTATGAAATTGAGACACAGCAGAATGTAGGCAAGGAAACGGATCATGATGAAGAGGGGCAGGAATGATAAAAGGGGGAATTCTTCAAGAAGGTGCAACACTTTTTCATGTGTATGTGTCTAACAGCAGAATTCCAAAATATGCGAGGTAAGAGCCAATGGAATTTCTAGGAGAAATAAACTAATCTACTATTATAGCTGGAAAGTGTCACCCCCCATTATTAACTGACAGAGAGAACAGGAAGACAATCAGAAAGCTCAACGTTGAACTAAAACACAATCAACTGGATCGAATTGATATTTACACGAAACAACACAGTACACAGGCTCTAGGCAGACCACGTTCTAGGCCAGAAAACACAACTTGACAAATCTTAAAAACTAGAAACCATGTAAAGGATGTTCAGCCCACGATGAAATTACACTAAAAAACAATAAAAGAAAGATAGCTGGAAAATACCAACATATACAGACATGAAACAACACGCTTCTAAATAACATGTGAGATAAAGCCCTAGGAGAAAGTGCAAAATGTTTTAAGCTAAATGAAAACGAAGATATATGTTATCAAAAGCTGTTGGACGCAGAGAAAGCCATATTAAGAGGCGAATCTATAGCCCTGAAAACAAACACCAGAAGACTGATGTAATCACAATACCCTATCACGACTAACTCAGAAGTTAAAGTAATCAAGACTCTGTGGGACTGGCAAAAGAACAGGCGAAGAGATCAGCGGGACATAACCGAGAGCCCAGAAGTGGGCAGACACAAACAGAAGTTATCTGATCTCTGAGTAATTACCCAAAACAATTCAATGAAAGAAGGATGCCTTCTTCAATAAATGGTGCGCGAAGACATTCAGTAGCAAAGAGGAAGTCTAGACGAAGAGTTTATAACCTTTTTTTTTTTCTTTAGTGCGTCACCATTTGCAAAT